TGGCACCAACAAGGTTAGCTAAAATCTCAATAAATAGCTCCCCAAAATGTTGGAAATGTTGGAAAAAGATACAAGCCTATAAAATCCATGTTTACAATGGATTTTTACAATGAAATATTTTTACAGTGAAAATGCTGAAAGCGAGTTTGGAACAATGCAGTCATGAATTAGTAGCTACAATATTAACAATGTCAATAATGTTATCTGCTTCTATACATAGGTTATACTGTAGATGTTATTGAAGAAATGACCTGTAGAACAAATTTAATTTAAATTAATAAAAATGGTATCAAAAGTAGATTTACAACTGACAGCTCAAAAAATGATTTGGAAAAGTATCTTTTAACGGATCTACTTGTACTGGTCTTTGACCGTAATAAACATTTGACTGATTGACTGACTGGCACTGGATCTACAAAACAAATTGGTGAAGTTTTAAAAGGGGAATACAAATGATAATCCAAAGGAGTATCCTAGACCTAGATAATTTTTCCGATTCTTGTTAAAGTCTTGAAAAACTCTGTGCAATAGGACAAACAAAAAATAAAAATAATTCAAATTCTATCACAATATTTGAATGAACTAAAGATTAAGTCTGTTAGAAGTACACCTGGTCATCAACCCTCAACCATTCATATAATGACCATTCAAAGTTACAAGAGCTGAAAAAAGTGACTTACTACCAGTTCTTGTACTTATGACCTTCACAGCATTCCTGTAGTCACGTGCTCAAAATTCATGTACTTGGCAACTGATATGTATGATGGTTACAATGTGCTGGGATCATGTGATTGATATTTATTCCCTTCCCAGGTGGTTCTGGATGAACAAGGTTAATGGGAGACTGCATTTGTTTAATGCTTGCACGACTTATTTAACATTTGTGGTGATTCACTTAATGACAGCAGCAAAAAGACTGTAAAATCTTCAGAGCAATATTCAATAGTGATGAATATTGAACTGGTTTAATTAAATATGTTGTCAGTGACCAGACTTGGTCAGTGACCATCAATCTGTTTTAATGAATGTGGAACACTGGGTTGTATTAGAAAGTTTTTTCTGTTCATTGGAAGTCATGAACTTGGTCACAGTGGTTTTATTTATGGATAGACAGATTTAAACTGCTTAATAGTTACAAGCCATGATCCTCAACAACTACTAAACTAATCACTATCTATAATGAATCTAGCAATAATGCAGACACCAACATTCCAGTTGTGGTATGAGAATTTTAAAAAAGGAAACGGGTAGATAAAGGATGAAAAGCTAGGAGCATTATTCAAGACATCCCACTGTTTAAAGGAAGCATTAATAAAATACCAAGAAGTTGCCAAAAATCTCTTGCTGTAATACTCTGTACTTCTTTCCGCCAAATTATAATTGTGCAATAGCTCCCCACAAAAGCATAAGCAATGATAGAGTTTGTCTTCTAGCCTCATTACTATGAATTCTTGATGGGAGACTATAAGAAAAATCCTAGGATGTGTTATAAACTTGAATAAAAATATATGACAACATAGAAGGCAAAAATTCTAAGAAATTTAGCTTGATTTGTGATTGAGACACACACACACACACACACACACACCCCACATATATAACGTTCTCCAGAAAATGTAAAGGATTGACATATTTGCCATTTGATTTCTTGATTTTTTAGTCTAAGCTACAATCCTAGGATTTTTCTCCTAGTTTCCCATCTAAGTACTAACCAAATATTACCCTGCTTAGTTTTTTTAAGATAAGACAATCATTTGCTTCTGCCATCTACTGAATCCTGAATTAAAAAGAGGTCTGCATAAGGCATGATTATTCTATGTATGATTCCTATAGTTTTATTGCTCCATCAATTCTTGCAGCTAACCATCCATCTTGTTTCACAGCCTGATGACAAATCACTGCTACTTACAATATTGTTGGTACATAGGACAGCAGCACCACTATCTGTCCATTATTATGCAATGCTCATAGCTACTGGTATGTTTTATTGCAAAAAAAAAGGCTCCCATATTATATGCAGCATACAACTAACTTTTTAAAGCAAACAAAAGGAGGCATGAAAGTATTCAAATTAAATAGAGAATGTTACTTATATAAATAGGTCCATATTCTAGCGTGACTAATTTCTATAAAATTAAAATAAATTTCTCTAATTCCTTAGTGAAAAAGACTTAAGATTAGTCCACATATTAAAGATCAATTCTCAAACAGTATGGAAAATTGCCATCCTATCTGGTGCCAGAAACTGAGGTTTTCAGATTGTAAAAAGTTTTTAAAATCAGTTATATGTATACTATAAAAGTCCATTTTTCTTATTGAAGTAGGATAAAAGGACTTATTCATTATTTTGAGTTTTCCAAAGTTGAATGTTATGTAACATGATTTTAAACCTTTGAATCAATTATAAAATTCTTTTAGTAGTAATTAATGACATGAGGACCCAGATTGTTGGGGGCAATATGCTGACTCTCTGTAAACCGCTTAGAGAGGCCTGGAAGGCCTATGAAGCGGTATATAAGTCTACTGCTATTGCTATTGCTATCTATTCAGACATTCAAGTGTGATAATATTGCTGTGAGGCAAAGTGCAATATAGTTTAGCTAACTTACAATGGAATGAGGAATTCTGAGGGATAGCAGGGCCACATTTTTTTTCTAGTTACATGCAGAGAAACTAAAAAGGTAAAAGCTAACATAAACGGTATACTACATTAAGTATAAAAAGGCCAAGAAGATAGGCATAGAGAGAACATTGTTAAGTGCCTACGAGTAAGAATATTGTGCAATTTGAATTCTATCGTAGAGAAGGTAATTTCTGATAGTCATTTACCTAAGTGCATTGGACCACAAAGATGAATGAAAGAGCTAGCTATCTTACCTTCACGACTCCATTTTCATGCATGGTAATGCAATTGTTGGGATCCTCTGACAGCTGATACAATGCTTGTGCAGTAGCTCGGTGAACTTCTGGATCACTTGATTTCAGATAACGTACCAAAGGGGCAACAGCTTTGGTATCTCCAAAACCAATCCTGTTACTTCCCCACATGCAGCAGCGAGAAATGGCATCAGCTAAATGCCGTCTTAATTTGTCATTGTTCTAAACCAAAAGGAAAAATAAATTATAATAAAAATATATCCCTTAATGTCTTAATGGAAGACATTTCACATAATAACAACTATTAAAAATATGAAAGGAGCTTTAAAAAGGTTGGCTTCTTTGTTCTTAATGCTTTATTGGTTATTAACATCATGTATGTATGTATGTATGTATGTATGTATGTATGTATGTATGTTTTCATAAATTTTCACAGGTACAGGTATGCAGGTCTTGGCGTATTTGGGTCTTTTCCCATGTAAGATTGAGAGTATTTTGGCGAGGTTTCGACGAGGTCCCACTTGCCATCTTCAGGCTGGTGCCTTCGGCTTCGTGCTTGTGCGAACAAAGAGTGATCGGAGCTGCCGTCTTTCTATAAATATTGGTGTGTGTGTGTGGAATGCTGGCTTTGTGGCTGTAAGTGGGTTGGTTGGCTGTGTTGTTACATCTTGATTAGTTGATGTAGTTGGTGCATGCAGATTAGTCGGCTGTTTCGTAATATCCTGTGTGGCTGAGGTACTAGCTGTGTGCCCGTTAGTCTTTTGTGTTGTAACGACCTGGGTAATGGGCTGTGTGATGACATCCTGAGCTCTAGTGTAGTGATATCCTGAGTCCTGTGCTGCAACATCCTGGCAGGTTGGCTGCATTGTAACATCCTGAGCCTTTGCGTTGTAACCTCCTGAGTTCTGTGATGTAATGTCCTGAGCAGATGGCTGTGATGTAACATTCCAGGCTTTGGTTTGGCTCCAAGTTTGCAATCTAGCCATATGTTCATGGTGTGTGTCAGTTTGTTTTGTGTGGGGGTTGGAGGGGGGTGTAGCAGTTGGTGATGCCGCTGTGGTATGGCTTCTGGATGGTGGTTGCATTTTGTCTATGGGATGGGTTTGGGTTTGAGTCTGGTGAGGGTGATTGGTGGTGGTGTCCTGTGTTGTTCTGGATCCAGTGTCGGTTTTTATGGCTGGGACTCATTTGTTGACTAGGGCTAGTTTCCAGATGTCTGGTAGGCAGGAGGTATCGTCACGTTTATTCATGTTGTGGGGGTGTTTCGCTATTTCGATGGCTTCCATAATTATTCTCTTGTTGAGGTGTTCAGTTTTAGAGATTAATTGGTTCCTTCAAAATCAATTTCATGTCCTGTTGCTTTAAGGTGCTGGAAGTTTTTTCTTCTTGTCTGACCGCGTTCTTGTGTTCTGCGATGTGTGCATTTATTCTCCTATTAGTTTGTCCAATGTATATGGCTGGGCAGATTTTGCATGGTATTTCATAGACTCCTTGGTTTTCTAGCTGGATCTTGTCTTTGGGGTTTCTTAAGATGCTGGGTATTCTTTGGTCAGTGTCGAAGGCTGTCTTGACATTGTGTTTGTGGAGAATTTTGCTGATTTTATCTGTGGTGCCTTTGATGTAAGAGAGGAGGGCGATGCCGTTGTCCTGTTCTATGTCTCATTCTTGGGGGGAGGGTCTCCTTTTGGATTAGGTTGGTAATTGTATTTCTTTGGAATCCGTTGGATTTTAATACGTTTGTGAGAGTGTGTAATTCAGTTTTCAGGTGGTCTTTGTCGGCTAGGCGTTTGGTTCTGGAGATGAGGGTCTTGGCTATGGAGTTGATCTGTGCAGGGTGGTGATGGGATTGTGTGTTTAAGTAGTGGTTGGTGTGTGTTTTTTTCCAGTAGACAGTGCATCCTAGGGAGCCATTGGGTTTTTTGTAGATTAGGATGTCCAGAAAGGGAAGTTGGTTGTTAGCTTCTATTTCTATAGTAAATTGTATTTTGGGGTGTAGGCTGCTGAGATGTATGAGGAAATTGTCCAATTTTTCCTTCAGAATATGAAGATTTTGAAATAATGTTTAATCTTTAACTGCAGAAGTTAAAATATGACATTATACAGTGTATTTCAGAATATTAGCAACAAGAACGAAGTTTTACTTACTGTATTCGCTAATTTGGATAATAAAGGAACAACACCATGATCTGTTATAACAGCTAAATTCTCTTCATCTTTTGCTATGTTGGTGATTGCAGCACACACACTTGCCAAAACTTCTTTATTTTCAGATTTTAAAAGATTAACAATTAGTTCCAAACCACCAACAAATGAACGAACCATTTCACCAGCATCCTAAGTGAAAACAAGACAAATTATAACATTTTATTTCTGTGAGAAATTTTATAACTTGATCTCAGCAATTAGTGACGACAGAAATATCTTCTTCATAGATGATCAGGTTTTTCTAGCATCATGGCAGACATCATTACTTTCTACCTTCAAAAGTATAGTAGCTCTATGTACTTCACAATTGCACCTCTGGGTTGCATGTGATTTATGAGACCAGAAGATCATTACAGCTACTGCTTTTCAAATGAACATACCATGAAAAACATACTTATCTGCCAAAATTCTAAAGTGTTGTATCTCTTTCATGCTTCAGAATCATAATTTTACATCTCATATTAGTCTGAACTCTTACAAACTAAATGCTGCTTTGAAAAGGTACGCTGTTTATAAACATATCCTTACAGATAAAAGCATATCAAAAAATCAGTAGTATTTTCCATTTGGAGCATCTTAGAAAGCTTAAGATGTCAAAGGTAATTTATCAACTCTGGTTGCTTTTGCCCAAAAATGTGATGGTGTGGCTGTGCAAATAAACCTGAGTTACCAAGAATCCTCTGTGGATTATGATTTCTTCTGGAGAACCTATCCTTGTCCAATTCCATTGCCTACCATTTTAAAGGAAACCATCTTAAAGTCCATTTACAGGAGGATAGGAAAAAAGAGAAAATTCAGCATGTCTTTTCTGCATTTCATAAAACACTGTTATATAAGAAAATGAGCTTATAACATAAAGTAAGTAATGAATATGTGAGCCAGCTATCTTGGAAAGTACACATCTGAGGAATATAATTCTGAAGCAATATTTTGTTAGTCCAGACCAATGCCATACAAAATGAGTTCTATAATGAAGGTTAATACTTTCTACCTATAAAGACTTCACCATTATGGGATATGAATACATATGATTTAACACTGATACAAATATTAGAGTAAATATTTTATGTACAATACTTTAAGTTTCATTAAGATTTAGTACAATTGCCACAGATCAGAACAATGCATATTCATTCTTTTGTCCTTAAAGATATTATTGTTAGGTAATAAGAGCTAAAAAGGAATGTACTAATTCTGTTAATTTAATGCATTCATCGTCTGTGTCTCAGCTTGCAAAAGCTAAAGCCAATTATATACAGAAAAGGTTCAAGATAAAGTTAATCTGAAATACATATACTTCTCATCATTTTATCATTAGCTCAATTTTATCTTATATTTAATTTTAGTTTATTTACAAACGTTTTAAGTCTCTAGAACAACCTAGAATTTTGATTTAAGTAAACCAATATTCTTTTCAGCTCCAAGCCTGAATTAAAAGACTTCTCAATTAACGAGGCAGGAGGGCCGTCACTATACGCTCAGTCAAGATCTTTAGTTTACAGCCTTTAATTTATTAGATTTACTTATTGTTTTAAAGTATCTTTTTAATGTTTTAAAATAAAAATATGTTTTTTATTACCTTTACATACTAAGTATTAGTTGAGTTGAAACATTTATATCTGGCCATGAATATACAAATTAACCTACTAATACTTTATATCAATATACTAATATAAATTCACCTACTAATACTTTATACCAAATAAGCTTTAGAATGTAGAGTATTTTTGGTATCCTAACTAATGTACAATAGTTTTTTTAATTAACACAAAAATATTGCCAAATGAAAAACAGACCCAGACACAAAACAATTTTACCATAGGTATTATATATAACAACTTTCTAAAATTAGACAAGATTATTTTTAACAATAGTAAGAACACAACAAGAGATTTGATGGTTAGTTAACAAGAACTGAAGAAGACTTGATCATGGCAAGATATTACTGTAATTAAAAACTTAAATGTTTTGGAGCTTTACATTTCAGTCATATGGGGACAGCAAACAAGGAGAACAATAAATAATTTGAAAACTATGAGAAGAAATATATAAATGAAGTCAGATAAAGTATATTTACTATATACAGTAATAAGAAAGTACTCTGATCAGAACAATTATCTGCTCTTTTCAATGGCAGTATAGTTCTCTGAGATTCTAAGAGCCCAATGAAAGATGATTATCCTGATACTGAGTTCCTTCATGAATCACTATAGTAGCTATTTATTCACAAACAAAAATATAGTTCTGTTTGCCCCCAAACTTCACTGTAGATTTAGCACATATGCTTTTAATAATTTTAATAGCTGAAATGTGTATTTCTTTCATAATATTTAGTAATTAGATTACAAATTTATAACATACACTACCTGTCAATTACATGTGCCCAGGCTGTCAAACTAGCTCTTCTTACCACAAACTAGATCTTCATTTGTAGCTTTATGAAGTATTGAAAATCCAAAAAGTTAATTGAAATAACTGCTAAAACTGTTTTGTATATGCAGATTGTGATTAAAAAAAATTATTGCCTTAAATAAAGGTTTTTGTTTGTTAAAATTCACCAGACTGCTATCCACATTCAAAAGTGCCTGAATCATTTTGGAACCTATCAGTCTTTGTTTGGGATCAACATGGCAACCTTCTGCTAACAAGGCAGACTTTGTAATCCCTGTATGTTTTTTTTAATGTTTACATTATTCACCACAGGGAATAAGTAGTATCATGACTACAAATTGACTTTCCAATATCAACAGAGCTCAGAACACTTTTCACTGCAATTCTTCATAATTATTTGCTTAGATTGGCTAATATACTTCCACTCTGTCACAGCAATTACTTCTACCGTTATGGTTTGTAGCTATTGAATTAACCGGCTAATTAATCTAAATCTACTTCTGCTAAGAAGATTCTGTTGCCTCAATACTGCTCTTTAAGCACACACACACACACATGATTAATTCTGATATATGCTTTACCACTGCATAAAAACAATCATTAGCGCTATGCAGGAACAACATTTGCCATGATATACAGATATCCTCTTCTATTGCCCATGCAGCATGCCTTTTAATTCCTCAATGCCCCAATGCTGGCAGCCAAGGTACACCTGGATCTGTTTGACTGTGATGAAAGAGGAAAGCTTCCTCATAAACACAAAGTATCATTTATTATAACCCTGGCTCTTTCCCCTAGTTTGACATTAAGGAAGTGATCCTGTAAATTATTTGCCTTAATCTTAGCATCCAGTAATTTCTACAAGTCAACTCTGCAACTTTCCATGTATTTTTATACAATCCTACATTCAAAGGTTTGAGATCTATCAGTTCAATAATATTGTGTGGGATGGTAATAAACTCTTCCAAAGATGGTTCATTTTCAAATAGGAATCAAAGTATGATAATTACATAAAAATTAAAAAGAGGGACAAATGATGATAACTAGAGATCCACTGACTCCAGTGATTTCCCATAGAGTTATGAGCACACTCTAAATTCTTTAAAATATCAAAGAAAATTAAAAGGGCAATTCTTTTACAAGTTAAATCATTTGATACAGGGCAAAAGGAAGCTATTTTTTTTCTGATACTGAGTAAGTGTGTCTCTCTGGTTTTGTTAGTATCTTCGTAGAATCTTTATTGCTTGCTAAGTCTAAGATAGAGAAGGACAGTATCAGAAATGGCAAAATTCTTATATTAATGCAGAAGCGGCATAGCTTTTATTTTCTATTTAACTCTTCAGGGATATTGGAAAATATAAACTTAATATTCCTTGCTTACTTATCAATTCATAGCTCTAAAAATAAAGAATATAGATGAGGAATACACAGAATACAGAATATACAGAATATACATTTTTAACGAAAGGGATAAAGAACATAAAATGGGTGAGCTTGGATTGTGTTGCCATGACATCCTTTTTGACTCTATTCAGCCCAACTGTTGATGCTGCTAACCTTAAAGCAAGTTTTTAAAATGATGTCTTTTAAAGAAAAAATAAATTTAGTTTTTGGTCCTCAAAAAAATCCATTCCTCCCTTTCCTTTTTGTACTATCTTGGAGCATTTGGCTAGAACTCAGATTTAGGTTTCAATAGTCCTATAATATTTGATATTCAATGGGCAATGCCTATAGAAAGCATACTGCATATTCCTATGTAAGATTTTAAAAAATCCCAAGTAATAACATGAACAAACCCAGTGATAAATTCCTATGTTTCCTAATAAATATTTTGCAAAAGAAGTCTCTACCTTAAAAGATACAAATTTCATACTCTAGCTTCCATTCCCAAAGTCTGGACCCTTCTATAACATGAGGGCAGTGCTGATACATATTGGTATGAGAATTATATGTTCTCTCTTCAGACATTAGTGCGCTTCAGAGGAAACATAATAAGGCTAAATTTGCTGCATTTCCTCTGCAATGATGGACAGGCAGTTACTTACTGCAAGAACTCCCAATTCATCCCATGTTCAGGGATTTCCATTCCCCTCCTGAGCAAAAGAGAGCCAGTTTGGTCTAGTGGTTGAGGCACCAGGTTAGAAAGCAGGAGATCATGAGTTCAATTCCTACTTAGCCAGCTGGGTGACTGTGGACAGTCATTCTCTCAGCCCAACCCAGTTCTCTGGGTTCCTGGGTTTTTCTTGTGAGGAAAATAGGAGGAAGATGTGTTGGATATATTTGTCATCTTGGGCTCAAGGTGAGGTACAAATTTATTTATATATAATATATATATATTGTCATGGTACCTTTAACTATTTACTGTACTCTTTGCTTTTCCTCTGCTGGGAGGAGGACATCTGCCCTGCCCTCTTCTTCCTCTTCTTTTCTTTAGTCATGTGAAGCAAATGGAATGAACGAGGGGGCAGGCAGGGGAGGGAAACGAAACGAATAAGTGGCCAGGCAGGCTAGCAAATGGAATGAACGAGGGGGCAGGCAGGGGAGGGAAACGAAACGAATAAGTGGCCAGGCAGGCTAGCAAATGGAATGAACGAGGAGCAAGGTAAAGAGGGTAGAGCATCAGCTAGCCATGTTTTCCTACACTGGACAACTGAAGGAAGTGTTGGCCACCTTATGGAAATGGGAGGAATATGTAGAGTACCATTCAACAGTGTGTAAACAGCACTGATGTTTGGGAAAAAAGCCAATAACCATTGGAACATACCTTGTCTTTCGTCTTCAGCTTAACTTACTAAATATTACCCTTGCTGACTCTGGCATGGTATTACTTATATTTTGGCTCCCTTTTTCTAACCTTGTTCAGTTCCCTTCATGTGTATCTGGCTTATATTAATTTCTCATCTTCTTTTGTGTCAACACACCCTAACATTTCCATCCTTCCATCCATTTGATGTTTCACTGTGTCTTTCCATCTCCTATTTCTTGGAGGTGGTGCATGTTTTATCAGAATTCTGGTAACTATTCTTATACTAAACAGCATATCCAATTTCTTCAAGTGTGCATGTCTTTGACTTGCTGCTCATTTCCATTTTTGCTCTTGCCAAATTTGCTATGGCTTATTTGTAGTCAAAATAATTCTTGCCCCCCTCACCCTCAATATGTCTATTCAGTTTATGGATAAACATATAATAGATGAATAAAAACTAAATAAACTATTTTCTAATTTGGAAGCATACTCTGAATTTGGTATTCACAAACTTTTCAATTTACAAGTTAGCAAGTTGGTTAAATATAATTCCTTTTCAGAAATGATAAACACCATTCTTGTTAAAATTTGTTTTATGAATCAAAGTTGAATATTTCATATCCAGTTTTATTTTCTCATGACGTAGTCATGGTAGAAACCTAGTATAAATAATAATAATGTAATCAATGCAAGAGAATGATTATAGATGTGACATTCTGATCAAGCATGTTTAATAACTCTATAGACTTAACTCCTATTTAGTAACTTTAAATAAATAACTAAAGATTTAATTCATATGCAAATCAACTGCCACCCATATAAAATGTGTGCAAATCCAAAATATATTTCAGATGACTCTTAGAACATATGTGACTAATACTATATATCTAATCCATTAAGCAGAATAAAGTTATAATATTATTACATGTATTATGTAATATGTAAGTTTACAGAAAAAAAGCTGAACATCAAAGCATACCCATATAACTCCAATTATTATGCATAGGAAAAAGTATGTACATATGAAAGTACAATATAAACTAGATGATAATAGTTCATACTTTGGACATATATATTAGCTCTTTCATTCCTTCTTTCTTGCAATTGATTCTACATTTATGTATTTCTCCACATAGTACTAATCCATAGAGTGGCTGAGGGCTAGAGAAGACTAAATGATTGACAACAACATTTCTCCAGAAGATAGGATCATCTTCAATCAGTTCTATTTCATCCTTAATTTTACATCTATTTTCTTTATTCATTTAATTAGCTAATTCATACTCTTTACTTCTCTTATATTCAAGACACAATATTCCATGTACTTTGATCATCACCAGATGGACCTAAAAACTCTAACGTCCACCATTCATCTTGACTTTGATTAACTGAAGCTTTCATGTAACATTTATTAAAATAGTAAAAACATAAACTTAATGTCTAGTCTTAGTCACACCTATCCCATATGTAAATTTCTCCATTAAGAAAAGGACAATACTGGTCAGTTTTAGCACATGTAGTTTAGTACATCATTAGTAAACTCAAAGCCTGATTTTATAACAGGTCATGCCAGAATAATCTTATTGCATTCTTCGACAAAGTGACAAAATTAGTGGATCAGAGGAATGCCGTTGATATAATTTACTTGGACTTCAACAAGGCATTTGATAAAGTAGACCATAACCTATTACTAGATAAAGTAGAAAAATGTGGGTTAGACAGCATCACAACCAGATGGATTTGTAACTGGCTGACCAACCGCACTCAAAGTGTAGTCCTCAATGGAATTGCATCTACGTGGAGGGAAATATGCAGTGGAGTACCCCAAAGCTCTGTTTTAGGCCCAGTACTCTTCAACATCTTCATCAATGATTTGGATGAGGGGATAAATGGGGAACTCATCAAATTTGCAGATGACACCAAGATGGCAGGAATAGAAGATAGGCTTAAGATACAGAAGGATCTTGACAAACTTGAACATTGGGCACTATCTAACAAAATGAAATTCAATGGTGAAAAAAATAAGGTTCTATATTTAGGCAAGAAAACCAAAATGCAGAGGTACAGTATAGGTGGTACGATGCTCAATAGTAGTAACTGTGAGAGGGATCTTGAAATCCTCGTGGACAACCATTTAAATATGAGCCAGGAGTGTGCAGCAGCTGCCAAAAAAGCCAACACAGTTCTAGGCTGCATAAACAGAGGGATAGAATCAAGATCACGTGAAGTGTTAATACCACTTTATAATGCCTTGGTAAGGCCATGCTTGGAATACTGCATTCAGTTTTGGTCACCACGATTTAAAAAAGATGTGGAGACTCTAGAAAGAGTGCAGAGAAGAGCAAGAAAGATGATTAGGGGACTGAAGGCTAAAACATTTGAGGAATGGTTGCAGGAACTGGGTATGTCTAGTTTAATTAAAAGAAGGACTAGGGGAGACATGATAGCAGTGTTCCAATATCTCAGGGGTTGCCATAAAGAAGAGGGAGTCAAACTGTTCTCCAAAGCACCTGAGGGCAGAACAAGAAACATTGGGTAGAAACTAATCAATGAGAGAAGCAACTTAGAACTGAGGAGAAATTTCCTGACAGTTAGAACAATTAATCAGTGGAACAGCTTCCCTCCAGAAGTTGTGAATGTCCCAATTCTGGAAGTCTTTAAGAAGATGTTGGATAGCCACTTGTCTGAAACAGTATAGGGTTTCCTGCCTAGGCAGGGGGTTGGACTAGAAGACCTCCAAGGTCCCTTCCAACTCTGCTACTGTATTGTATTGTATTGTATTACATTGTATTGTATTATTATTCCAGATATGTTCATGTTATTCCATGTGAGTTAAAATCCCTAACTATGGAAGTCAATATGATATTATCTGCATCTCACCAACTCAGAGACACAGAGTGCACTGACACAGGATGCAAAGTAATTTAGCAATAAGGTAGGGTAAAAAAATCAATCTAATGTGAATCTTTAAAGTTTAATTAACCAGCAAAAGAGATTATTAGCTGTTTCATCTAGAATAGCTAATATTTTAATATAATTCTAGAGAACCTATGATTAAAAAAACAGCACTTTGTAGAGGTAGGATAAATCAAATTTATTACAAGTATGAACGAAACACAATAAAACAGAACTATAATACTGTGTGGGATTGTGTTCATGCAGTCTAAAGTTGCATTTGCCTTTTTGCAACAGCCATATTGTATTACTAACTCATATTCTGTTTGCAGTCAGTTCTATGACATTTGTTAGAAATCCTGTTACCAAGCCAGATATCTCCTATCCTGTATCTGTGCATTTGTTTCCTAAATTAGAATGTGTATTTTTCTGGCATACTATTATACTATTTCTGTAACTTAATATTATTCTGAATTTTTGTATGTTTTGTGAGATTATTATTTATCTTTCCCCTTTCTTACAAATTTGATAAGGATCCAATAAGTTATGAAATGAAAATATTGGTAATAGGTGCTAATTGAGCACCAAGACTTAACCCTTGTGATACCCTACTAGTTATTTTAATAACTATTTCCAGTATGATAAGGCACAGTTCTTCTTTGCTATGTACCTATTTAATTGTCATACTATTCAGCCAACCCTAAGTAACTTGCTAATCAGAATATTACCAATACATTGTCAAATGTCTTGCTAGGAAATAAACTAACATTTGGTGATTATTTGGATTATAATTTCAATGTATTTATTTACCTTTGCATTTTCAATACAAGGACAAATTGCCCAGGCTGCGCTGGCCTGAACACCTGGGTGAGGATTTTTCAACAATGACCATAATAAGCGAACACCATCCAAGCGATCAATTATCCTATCAAAGAGAAACATGAAAGATATTTAACTGAAAATTAGAAGATATAAAATATGTGTTTGTTTGATTAATTGAATGATAGCTTATTTATCCAAGTTCAATTTATTCAATTCTATCATTAAGACTATGGATATTATTTATGAATAAGTTTATTGTAGTAATTTTTAAATAGAAATAAACTATTTTTTAAAATAATTGGATGGTTGCATATCCATCATTTAGAAATATAATTGTACATATTCAAAATATATACTTTGTATTTGATGGGTAAAATATACAATTTCATAATATTTTGCCTTAAAAATAATTCCTCAAGAAAATAAAAATAAAATACTATATAGAAGGACTCTAGTAAACTTTGCAAACAAGCCATGTGACTTTTTAACAAGCTTTATGCAAAGTCAAACCAAAATTTAAACATACTGGTTTCTTTCATATAGCAATAAATACTTTCCAAAACAAATATTTATGCCAAAAAGCTATGTACTTTATATTGAGTCTATGTTTAATTTATTTAACTTGCTCTATGACATATTTTAAATATCTATGTGCTCACCTAACATTCAGAATGAAAATGGGTCACACTACCACAGTGCACTCTTTGTTGGGTATGAATAACGTACAACTTGTTTCTCATGCTTTCCCTAAGACAAGACTAACACTGAATACTCTGTTATAATTGCTTAAACATACTGTAATCAAAGTATCTTCATGTCTAGCTGAAAAATGAATTATCATCAGAGCCATCTTTAAACCATCTGTCTTCTGTTTATATATCAATCAGTCTAGGGGATCATAACTTCATATTAAAATCCACAGAGTACTTTAAAATGGAGAGGAAGACCAAACAAAACTTAATATCCTTTACAAACTTAGTTTTGTTCAGGAAGATATGCAAAATTCAAAGCAGATGAGGTGAAGATAAAGAGACTCCAGCATACTTTGATTTATAACCTCATGTTTAATTCTAAAGTTTGTCCATGTCTCTAATTGTGACTTGTAATTTGTAAATAAAATAGATATTTTACCTATGTAGAAATCAAACAAGAACATCTAATTTATGTTCATTATGTAAAATGAGTTTGCAAGGAATGGAAAACGCAAAATCAATCTAATACATAATCAACAATTATAACCCAACTAGAATGCTTTAGAAAACACAATTTTGTCTAATGTAACTGCAGCTTTTACTTCAATCAATGCAACCTAGTTATATAAGTTTGCTTCCAACATCCAGGTAATTTGGAAAAGACTAATATTAGCTTGTTGGAGAGAGCTACTGTCAATTTCAAACATCACATAATGCAGACAAATTTATATTGCCAGCATAGATAATGCAAAAAAAAAGAAGAGGTTTTGCCTGGAAAGTAGGAAATAAAATTTTAGACTAACAAAAATTTAAAAAGTTGATAGAAATAGAATGAAAAACTATTTAAGAAACATGTGATCGAGGATAAATGAGAACCGTAAAATCTATATAATTAATTCTAAATTCTAGTCCAATATTTCAGATATTTTGATATTTTACAAACATGTATGTATTGTAACATTTTACAATCAACACACAAATACACACACACACACATTCAATCGTATTTAGTTTCAATGTCTGTTTAATTATCTCTTAAACCATCCTACTTCTAAAACCCAGCTCTTAGTTTTAGCAGTTTAGAATGAGGCAGCCAAGCCTGACAGTAATCTGATCAAGATCTCTCAACAAGGCCCTACATGACAGTGACTTCCAGATTTATATGTCTTCTAATCAAAGAATTGCATTATATCAACTGTACCATACTACTATTTAACAAGATAAACATTTACTGTTTTATTTGATACAACCCATCCAGTTATAGATTTGAAACATTCTGTTGCTATTGCTACAGCATTACATTACTCTGTCTTTCTAATCTCCATTGTTTTCTATTCCCATTTTCCACTTTCATTACCTGTACAAGTTCATTTGCAATCAGCTTTGAACTATAAGTCCAGCAATTCTGAATAGGATTTGCATCTCACACGGCATCCGCTGGGCCTCACTGTATAAATGGAGCATAGTATCCTCTCCTCAGTGTGACTGTGCAGTCCCACACCAAACTGTAGATCACATTGTGACCTAGTGCAGTGTTTTTCAACCACTGTGCCACTAGTGTGCTGTGACATAGTGTAAGGTGTGCCGTGGGAAAAACACCTTATATATAGTCAATATAGGCACAGAGTTAAAAAAATTTAACATTTTCTAATGGTGGTGTGCCTCGTGATTTTTTTCATGAAAAAAGTGTGCCTTTGCACAAAAAGGTTGAGAAACACTGTCCTAAAACATAAAAACGACGGAGGCCGTCAGTGCAAGATTATTCTATTCATTTCTTCCTCTTTTCCGCACTAGAGATCCCAAGCACCCCTTCAGTCCTGAATTAATTTCCTTTTTTCTTGCCTCAGGCTGCACCTGGACGTCTGCAACGGCTCCCTCTTTGGCAAGCAAGGCCAACGGCAGAAGTTCTGGAACTGGTGGGGCCCCGAGGGCCACGTTCACGCCCCCCCTTTCCAGCCCATCTGCCTTCAACTCAATGTTTATATCCAGGTTAAAATTAAAGCCCAAGATCAGATTTTCCTCACATTTGCAAAGGTTCACGACTGTCTCCACCTCAACGTTGGGGCGCGGCTGAAAGTAAGTGGGGCTGACTTTGGGGGGCCATTTCTCTTGATTGTTGCTTATGGGTGGAGATCTAGGCTGCCTGCACAGGAAGGGCCAGGGACTCCCCTCTTGCAAGGGGTAAGTGGGGTAACCTACCTCCTATTACACCCACCCAGCTCCCAAGGACCAGGAGGCAGGGCGGGTAAGGGATCGTCCTCAGGGAGGACC